ACAAAGCGTATGGTGGATATGAACCGCTAAATTGCGACATTTTCCGATTTCTGCATGTAATGTGTTTTGTGAGTTGTAAATGTCAAGTCATGTTCGTAGGTCACTGAAAGTGGCCTCCGTATTTTAAGGTCTTACATAAAAAAATGTCGAATTTTAGTCTGGTTGTTGCTCTGTTTGACCGGGAAAGGATGAACTTCCAGGGGAGAGGTGGGCTAGCGGATCTAGATATTTTTTACTCTTTCAAAGGGCGAAAAATATTGAGCTCCATGTCCCTCTCCTTCTTCCTTTGAAGCAGTCTCCTTCTAACGAGGAGGAGGCGTTTTTTAATATTGATCTAGCTTAATTCTTCTTCCTGGAACTTAAATCGCTAGGCAGAGCGACTTAATTTGTGCAGCTGCAGTTAATGCGTGGATCTGATTGGCGAAGCAGTCTTCGAATTATGCATTATTGAATGCCACTATCATTAATGGTTTAGGTGCGTTTTTCGCGAACGGCTCGACAAATCGTTGCCGATTACGATTTGGAAGATTCAGTTATGACTCTTATAATTGAATTTCCTGACGATTATCCCCTCAGTGTGCCAGTGATCGAGAATGAAAAAGCAATTGTAAATCGTGGAATACGACGAAGATGGATCATGCAGTTGACCACGTTCCTCGCTAATCAGGTACATGTACAAGTAGCAGCTTGCAGTTTTTAACTTCGACAAGCCATATCTGACAGAGAGCGAAGTGGATGAAGTCAGCTGGTGCTTCTGATTTCAAGGAACACAGTAGTCGTCGGTGTTTTGGGTTGACAGTTGTCGGAACAGAGTCAGCTGAATTGCGCATAAGCTACTAATAGCATTTCATGCATGTGAGAGTGACCTGAGCTACCTGCGTTTTGGTGTGTAGAGGCAACTACTAAAACTCGGCTTGCCCGGGTCAGGTGGCAAATTACAATGATTGAAGGGGGAGGAGGGAAGGTGGAGGAAATGGGGAAGAGGTGAGGGTTGGAGTGAGGCTTTAGAACTCGAGGATAATAGGTAGTGGGAGAGAAGGGGTTATTGACCGCAAAGGAGCTGAGACGCCGCTAGGGATAGAATTGGAAGGAGCGGCGAGATTTGTGAGGAAGGGTCCATGTGGCTTTTTATGTTCAGTCTGAAATTGAGATGTGGGAAGGGGTTTAGCAGTCTTAATTGTGAAGCTAGAACCTGACCTGAACAAGAAACCCGGTGCCACCACCTTCGCAGTTTGAACCCGAACTCAAAAGTGAGTGCACATTGTATGACCGTGCCAAACCGAGTTTTAGTATTTGCTG